TATTAAGTTATGTCACCTGTGCATCGATATGCACGCCCTAGTGAAAAACCGCGTGTTATGGAATAATTTAACACGTTGTGCATGTATGACCATTGAAAAGTGCATTGCGATTTCCAGTTATCGTGGCCGATGTTTTCGTTGCCACTGGCAAAGAACGCATGCGGTTACGTACACGGGTAGAGTACCGAGACGTACTGGTGTGTACTCACGACCATTTTAATGGAGTGTGAGTGTTAAATGCAGGGAAGGTACTACTGTGTTTCACCAGCATGTATTATGTATAAACATATTTGTATGGTAGACGTATATACTCAGAAGGAATGAGTATTTGTATTCTGTCCATTAAAAAGGGCAGGCCCAGAGTTGTCTATCTACTACTTATGTGCAGCATTTTTCTCCTCCGGAGGTACCCTCACTATGGGACTTGGATTGACTCGCTCGTCAATTTGAGGTCGGTAGTCGGGGATACCCACGAGGCGAAACACGTAATTGCTTGTAGCTCGTGGGCGGCATTTGGACACCTTTGGTATTAGTGTTAATTTTTATGATAGTTAGTCTGTTAATAAAATTTTATTTCACCCATTAGTGTGCTAATTATTATTTTCAGCAGTTATACCGTCATTTGTAAATAAATAACGAAATTCATATAACGTACATTTATTTACTATTTAAGTACAGTACATAATATACCAGTTTACTGTGAAGTAGTTTAAGATTATTATTTGTCTTCATTGATATTTTTAAACCAACACGAATATTCGTGAAGCATCATTGACATTGAATTAGATCAGAAAGACGTACTATCACGTTGCTCGAAGATAGAAATAAAAATTAAGTAGTGTCTTTTGACTGATGTATGAGACATGACAGACATGTACAAGAAGGCATTTCGCGACGGGTAGTTTTTTGCGTCAAAGTGACATAAAACATAAAACAAAGATCAGTATATGAAGGTTTGTCATCATCCGCAGATTGTTATAAAGCCGAGTGGGTTTAAAAAATAACTGCGCTGTTCGTGGGCGTAGCCAGTTTATCAGTTAGGGGGAGGCAATGTAATTTTGTTCTTTCGGGAAGGGGGTGGGGGCAAAGAACTATTTTTTTCTTGTAACGTAGTGCAAAACCGACTTTTTTCGTCCATGGACGGAGGGGGGGGGGGGGGGGGGGGCATGTGCCCAAGGCGTTGTTTGAACATTAGTTTCTGCGTTCCGTTTAGTTTAAGTTGTTGAATGTGAATTGTTTGTCATTTTGAATTATTATTATTTATTGTTAAATTATTTGTACAAGGAGAATAGATGTGCAACTTGTGATTCCATCTATCCTCCTTGGGTCTCCATTCGCAGCAATCTCCACGTGGTGAGACGTGGGCAATCATTATTATTTGGTATATAATTGGCAACTATAATCACTTACAAGTTGGCGAACTATATAGCAAATAATATGAGCCAATTTGC